TCTTTTAAAGAAAACTGAGTGAAAATTAAGTGAGATTTTCCATAAAACAAGTAAAATTGTCTACCCATGAGGGAAGCAGAATATTCTGGTTTTCACGTTTATATACATGCATAATCTTAAGATATACAGACAAGAAATAAGACAAAACCTTAAAGCATTTTTGGCAGTTTTGGGGCATTTTTGGGGCTCATTCTGAAAGCGTACTCCTGTATACATTTCTGGAGAGTATGAATTATGTATCCAGAGTTACGTATGGCTGCACTTCATCTTTAAAACGAACGCTATGTGGCGGTATGACACCACTGATGACTACCCCTGTCTGGACGGCTTTTTTCGCTGTTAATAGTTTGTCCAGTAGCTTGCTGCATACATCGGCAGACTTGAGACGCAGAGAGCAGATGGCAATGATGGAGTTCAAGTCCAGCAAAGAATGGTTCCGGAAAGCAGGTAAAACAAAAGGCAAAAAAATAAACGTCAAGTAAATATCAGCGTGAGAATGTGGTCAAATCTGAAAACCTGGTAAAAATCAGGCAAGGGGTTTTCTATTTTCTGAATTGCTTTTGAAAACAAGGGGGGGGGGTCAGTCAGTCGGTCAGTCAGTCAGTCACAGCCTCTGTGGAATTTTGTGAGAAGAGCACTAGCTAGAGAAATTTGAGATCTGTAAAAGCTTACACAGCGGCCTCTGGTTGATTAAAAAAAATAAAACTGCACAAAAACAGACCTCCTGGGACACATTTGACGTTCTCCAGAAATGTATATAGAGGTACATATCCATAATGAGCCCGGGTTGATTTTCCCAGCAGTTCTCCAGCTTATTAAATGCTGATTAAGAAGGCACAGTGCTATTATCAAATACAACCGGTGCATGCTTGTGTTGACTGGTGTTCTGTGTTTGTCATGGGATCAATCCACTTCAACAGAAGTTCATGTGTAGGGAAGTTCCTGACTGGTTTTAAACACTCGACACTTGCGTGATGCTGGAGGTCTGTGGAGCTGAAGAGCTGATGAGCAGATGAACAGAGAGAAGTGCGTCCTCTGCTGCTGTAGTGTTTGTCTGCAGAGGTTCAGCAAAGATCAGTGTTGAGGTGACGCTCCCACAGCTGCAGCTCCTGCCCTACAGCACACACCAGCAGATACGACTCACTGCTCACCTGCGGCACTCGCACCTGACACACACACACACACACACACACATCATTGATTTCTGATTCAGCCAGGGACTTAAACAGATAATGCTTGACGAAATACAAACTTGTGTAAGACTAATGACTTATTACTATTTGTTGGTTGACCCTACATTATAACTAAACAAATTAAGGGTGCTGATGAAGGAGGGAGGACCCAGGAGCAGGAGGATACAGCCGAGGACCCACTGTCCAGCTAGGATAGAAGCGCACTGGTGGGAGGAGTGATGGTGGAGATGGGACTGACAATATCAGTGGACAGCTGATTCTGATGGAGCTGCAGAGCCAGAGTGACACCAAAGCCATTTGGAAGTCTGCAGCTAGACCCTTCTCATCACTTCTCACGTCTGCTGAAGCTGATGAGTATGTAGGCAGTAAGAGATTGTTCACTCACCCGGTTGAACAGCAGCAGGTGGCGGTGCAGTGGTGTCACTAGCGGGTAATGGCAGGCAGGGGGCGTCACTGAGCTCTACAAACATCAAGTTTGTCGATCAGATTTTTCAGCATTGACAGCGGCAGCTTCACACGTGTGGAATGACACACACACACACACACACACACACACACACACACACACACTCATGAGACAATAATAGAGATGAAGGTGACACGCAGCCACGACAGATGCTGTGCTACCAGATAAAGGTGCTAAGAGACGGGCTTACGTCCTGGGCAGAGTCCAGAGGGCAAACGGCCAGAGCGCGCGCTGGTGGACACACACACAGCTCTGTGACTGGAGGAGAAACAGCCATTAGACACACACACACACACACACACACACACACACACATATATATATGGGCCATTCTTCAACTACGGGCACTTTTAGCCTTGTGAAGTTGAGTAAAAAAAAAACATGTTCACAATGAACGTAATGTATCCTCATAAGTTTAAACAATGTGTCTAGTTTTAAGATCTGTACGAGGACAAACAAGAGAAACATGTTTTCCATGGTGAACTGCACAAATGTTTGTCAAAAAAAATGTATTTCAAAATGAAGTAAATGATGGCAGTCAAGCATCGTCTAAGATCATTTCTGTATCTAGTTTAGCCAATCTTTCCACAATATATATAATAATTATAGATTTGTCAATGAAATAAATTAGTCGTATGCTGAATTGTGCACCTGTCACACTCTAAAATGTAATATTAATTTGGTTTAGAGCTTATTAGAAAATAAATAAACTGAATTTGTATATTAAATAGAGCATGAACTTATACTTTGTGAATACTCTCTTAATGTGTGATGAGAACTTTTTAAAATATTTTTATAATGTGTGTGGTGATGGAAATGACATTTCACCAGTTTATTGTGAAAAAAATGAAAGATAGCTTCACTGATTAGCTTTGAATTGCTACTAGCCTTTCATGTCTACAATACACTCTTATTTACCTTCATTTTGTTTGGTTTTTAAAACATCTTTGAAGGTTCAGCATGTTTGGAAATGATGTAGAACAGGGGTGCTCAAGCCTGTTCCTGGAGATCAAGCTTCCTGCAGATTTCATTTGCAACCCTTATCAAACACACCTGCCTGTAATTATCAAGTGCTACTCAGGTCCTGATTAATTGGTTCAGGTGTGTTTGATCAGGGTAGGAGGATGGTAGATCTCCAGCAACAGGGTTGAGCACCTCTGACCTAGAATTAATGTATTTCCTTATCAAGCAATATTTACCTTGATTTTCTTCAAGTGTTGTTGATAGAAATGTAAATTCCCTCCATCTTTAAGATGTTCTCAGATGGCACTATTCATTTCACAGAAACCACCTCAATAATCTCACACAAACTTTTTAAAGCCACATTACAGTGTTGTGCTGGAAATGACACTGGTACTGTGCGACAGCTGTATTTTATACCAAAAATGATATTAATAATAGTTTCACATTAATAACTATGCAATATTGAAATTATTTCACTAGTGCTTCATTAAGATACATTAATAGATACCAGATAAATAATATGTTAATAGGTTATTTTCATTGTTAAAGTTTTGGAAACAGTGTTTTTGACACCTAAAAGCAGGTTGAATAATATGAAAAAATATAACAGAAAGCTAGTAATATTTTTAAAAGTAGGTTTTATTGTTAGTTTGACAAAAAAAAAGAGGAATTTGAACAAAATTATATATATATTTTTGTATATGGTCAAAGGAAATAAAAGTGCTCGTAGTTGAAGAATTACCCATATATGCACACACACACACACACATGCTGTGATGCGCTGGCGGACTGTGCTGTGAGCAGTGGTGGAAAGAGCGCTGGAAAATCAAGGAAAAGCACCATTGCTTGTCCGAAAATGTAGAGCAGTAGAGTAAAAGTGTCCTTTGTAAAAATTACTCATGCAATTTGTTCATGTGTGTGTGTGTAAACGTAAAACTCTGTAGTACATTTAGTCATTGTTTAAGGCCATTTGTCAATTTCAGTCACCATACAGTAAACATCTGCTGTTCTCTCATCACTGACATGCAGCTAAACAGTCTCTTGAGCTTTGCATGTGAAGATGTTGGACATCTTCTTAAATGCTTTCAAATGGTTTACTGTATTTATAAAGTGTGCATGTCTTGAGGATGTTCAGTGTGATTTGATTAATGCTGAGTTCAGACTGCAGGATTTTAGCCCTGATTTTGACTCGCCGACAGGATTTGAGAAATCACAGGCGAATCGGTGCTCGCTCACATCATCAATAATATTAGAGCATCATTGTTTCCTTCACCATATTCTCATGAAAGTGAAACAGTATAACTAACGGCCAGTACAGGCCTCCCGATGGTGACAGTCATGAGATCGTGCAGTTGTTGATCAGCATGTGTCTCGTCATCTATTCCTGGATGGGATATTTATCTCTATTCTCATCGCTGAGCTTCTGTACAGATATTCTGAGCTGTGGGATGTGCGAGTTATGAGGAGATCTGATGATCAGTGTGAGAGATGATGATCTGACCTGTGTTTCTGACAGCGCTCAGTCGGAGGATCTGCTCCCTCAGGCCTGCCATCTCCTGCTCCAACTCTCGGTTCCTCCTCTCAGCCTTATGAAGATGCCTGGACAACACAAACACGCACACACACACACACACACTGTTACAGTCCTGGCTCTGTGTTTTGTGCTCCTGATTGCTTCTGTCCACCTCACCACTTTGCTAGTTGCCCTAATGACTGTCTCTGCCCCTTAGTTATCTCATTTTATTTACGTGACACAATTGCAGCACGGTGGCGCAGTGGGTAGCACATTCACCTCACAGCAAGAAGTGTGGAGTTTGCATGTTCTCACCATGTTGGCGTGGGTTTCCTCTGGGTGCTCCTACAGGTTTCCTGCAGGTGAATTGTGTAAACTAAATTGTCCGTAGTGAATGAGTGTGTATGAGTGTTTTCCAGTGATTGGTTGCAGCTGGAAGGGCATCCGCTGTGTAAAACATATGCTGGAATAGTTGGCGGTTCATTCCGCTGTGGCCACCCCAGATTAATAACGGGCCTAAGCAAATGAATGACTGTTGTGTATACCTGTTTTATTTTTATTTTATTTGGAAATGTCAAGCCTCGCTTGGACGGCTGTTGATAATTAGTCTGCTAAAACACTTTAACATATGCATTTGGTTTGTCCGGTGTAATTAGTAATGTCCTTGTTCAATAAACAAATAAACTGAAGATTTAAGGTTGAAATTAAATGGTTTTAAATGATATGAACGCAGTATTTGATCACCTCTGTAGCTCCTGCACGTGTGTGTCGCTCTGCTCCGTCTCTGTGCTTCTGTCCACTCGCTCTGGGTTGTTTTTCTCAGCTGGAGATTCTGGAGCGCTCAACACTTCAGCAGTGATGGTTTCTCTGAGCTGCCACACCTGATCCTGATTCACATTCACAATCAGATCATCCTTCACATCATTAATCCCCATCAGATACATCAATAAGATACATCAAGCTGTAGGTCTGAGCCACAGGTGTGAAACAAACACGATATAAAAAGGATTGAAGGATGATTTTACTTCCTACCACCACACAGAGACATGTGCAGAGGGGAACCCATATCTCCTGATATTTATTTTATTAATTAGTTTTGCCAGAGAAAGACGTCCACAAACAGAACATCCACTTTTTATAATCCACTTATTATTGTATTTAAAAAACCCTCCCTGGAAAAAGTGGCACGTTCTCTCAAGGATGAAAACAGGCTTATTGTGGATATGTGCACAGGTCTACATTTCTGGAGACTATGAAATATGTACCCAGAGATACATCTGCTTGCAGTTTTTGTTTTATTAATAGTACATTAAGGGTGACATAGTGGCTAAGTGATTATCACTGTTGCCTCACAGCAAGAAGGTCGCTGGTTCGAGTTCCGACTGGTTCAGTTGGTGTATCTGTGTGGAGTTTGCATGTTCTCCTTGTGTTGGCGTGGGTTTCCTTCAGGTGCTTCGGTTTCCCCCACAGTCAAAACACATGCACTAAATTGGCCGTAGTGTGTGAGTGTGCTTGTGTGTGTGAGAGAGAGAATGAGTGTATGGGTGTTTCCCAGTACTGGGTTGCAGCTGGAAGGGCATCCGCTGCATAAAACATATCCTGGATAAGTTGGCGGTTCAATCCGCTGTGGTGACCCCTGATGAATAAAGGGAGTAAGCTGAAGGAAAGTGAATGTGAGTGTTTTGATTTAAGTGTATTATTTTTTAATCTACATCGGCAATAGATTTGGCGTGACTTTTGGATTTGATCCTATATTAATGACTGTATAAAACGAAAAAAGGACAAAATGTCGTGTGTGATTTCCCCAAAAACACTTCAGCAGCCTCTGTGAGCTTCATACCAGTTTGTCCTGCAGGTGGAGAGAGTCTGTGTCCTGCAGCTGGTCGATCTCCATCATGATGTCGCTGCTGCGGTCCAGCGCACCCGTCTCTCTGTACAGCACAACAGCACAGCACACATAACCTATTATATACACCCTATTATACAACTGCCGCAATGCCATTGTTTTTTTTTTTTGCTGGTTTCAGCCTGGCGCAAATCTCATTTTTGCACCACACTGTTTAAATAGCAGTCATTTCTGTGGCCATGGCTGTGCTGGTGTGAAAAGGAGGTGTGTTAAGGAGCATTGGTCTTTTAAGGCAACTGGAATAGACCACAACTGACCAACTAAAAGCTGCTCTAAAGCCAATGGCGCAGGATTTTCATTAGTTATTTAAAGAGTATGTGTGCATATGCTGATCCAAACGTGCACACACGTTGCTGAATACACACTCGGGGACGCACAGCAGTACACAAATATCTTTAAATAAGAAACATTTAACTTTACATTTAGGCTTTGATGTAATCCGGCTGTGTTGTAGCCGGTTTATCTATTAAGTAAACGGTTTGTTTAATGTTTTTATTAGTAGTAATATTTAATATATGCATATTTACATTGGTTTTGGGAATTTTTTGTTTAGATTTTGTCCATCTGTCAGTTGTAGAGACGTATGGATCACTATACAGGGGCGGTATATGAAGTGTATTTGGAATTAACTCGTCTTTTGACCACACTTCATTATTATTGTTCATTTATTAGTTTGCTGGCTTCTTCAGTTTATTCATGACGATCTGCGTCTGTATAATGTGATTATTATGATCAGTATTACTGATTATCTGCAGATTTATAATAAACACAAGTGTAGATGTGTCCAGGTGTGGGGTTTTGGAGACGTCTGCATCAGCATATGTGGATAAGAACAGGACGTGTGTTTGGATATAACTCAGTTTTCTGAGCACACTTCATTAATATTATTAATTTATTCCTTTGCTGGAGATTAGAACTGAATTTAGAAACAGTTTTGAAGCAAATATTTGCGCTTAACAAAGGAGAACTCATTATGAGAATCAGCACAGCCCTGTTAGACCATGCTCCTGGCGCAGACTGTATTTTTCCAGCTTTAACATTGCAGAAGTGGATTCGGACACAATCTATTAATTGTTATAATTAGTTGTTATAATGCATTAATTAATTTTATTAATGCTTTAATTAATTGATTAATGCTTTTGCACCATCTGCTTTAGACTTTGCGCCAATATTGTTACAATAGAGCCTTTTCTGCAACTGGTCTTTAACTGTTTTCTCACTAGCGAAGTGTTTTTCTTGCTTGCAAATGGCAGATGAGCCTCTGAAAGGTTTAATTATATGCCCAAAACACAACCCATACCTCATTAAGAGAACAAGGACAACTCTTTTAGCCCATGCGTTGGGTGCACAGACTGTTTTTCCAGTCCTTAAAATAGTAAAAGTGGATTGAGACACACCCTTAATCGTTTGCGCATACATTTTAGACCACAGGTGTCAAACTCAGTTCCTGGAGGGCTGCAGTTCTGCACAGTTTAGTTCCAACCCTAATTAAACACACCTGATCAAACTAATTGAGTGCTTTAGGCGTGTTTGATACATACAGATAGGAGCACTGAAACTAAACTCTGTTGGGCTGCGGCCCTACGGGAATTGAGTTTGACACCCCTGTTTTAGGCCATACACCATTAAAATAAAGCCTGCAGATGAAGCATCACTGACCTGGTGGCAGTGTACGAGTATCCCACAAATGCCAGATGAACCCCGACCGGCGCTCGCTCCATCACATCAGACAGAGTCTCCTGAACACACACACACACACACACAGTTCACTTGTGTGTGTTCTGTTTATCTCTAAGGCTGAGCGTACGCACAGAATGGCACCCTTTTGCACTTTTAAAACCATGAATAAATCAAACACACTTGAATTCACCAGCATGGACCACGCCACATTTTGAGCTGGACTTTATTGTAGGGATTCAAAGGCGGGTAGGAGAACAGTGGGATGAAGGGGAAGGGAAGTAAGAGGATAAACAGTGAACAGGTAGGTAGGTTGATCGGGCGTCCTACGATGATGCCCAGAGACTCAGAGTGTCAGCGTCTTTGTAATATTTTGGTGTTTTAATATTTTGAGTGATTGGACCCCCCGGTTCAACCTAGGCGTGAAGAGAGGAATATAGGATTGTTGATGGGAAGCGAGGGAAGGAGGGAGGGTGGGTTTGAGAATGAGAAGAACAGTGCTAGAGGGCTGGTCTGTCCTAAATAAGTTTTTAGCTAGTAGGTGATTGGTTAAGGAGGCAAACTGAGGCGTGGTTCTGCTGCCGAACCTTTTATCTACAAGTAAGCTTCAGTAAATCCAGCACAATGCTGCAGAAGTCACATTATGGGATCTCACTGATATCCACGGGAAACTGCAGCTTTGTGGAGGAACAAATGCAGACTGCTGGAAATAGTGGGATATGATGCAACAATCATTTCACATCAATTACTGTGTGTTCATCAAGCTCTACAGGACTGGCTGTGGTACCGTTTCACTGAGGCAGTCGTCCAGCACATCGAAGTTTGAAGTGTCTGTGGCGTTGGAGACGTCTGGACGGTACGGCGGAGGGTGCAGATGCAGAGAGCTCCAGTCTAGGCCACTGAAGAACGGATGACTCCTGAAGTCTGCAGATCCTCCAGAGCCCAGACGCTCAGAGCGCTCTCACAGCAGACTGCAGACCAGAGCACGCGCCGGCTCAGACACCTGCACACCACTGGCTGGAAACCCAAAATAATCCTGCACGCACGCACACACACACACACACACACACACACACACACACACACACACACACACACACACACACACACACACACACACACACACACACACACACACACACACACACACACACACACACCATTCACAGAATGGACTGAATTACTTTAATATTTAAAGGTGCAAAGTGACAATATAACAACAGTTCATTAGTCTATTTAAATAAATTGTAAAAATTCTTTAATGATTAAATCTATGACAGAATTTACCCCAGAAAGAAATCTGATATATGACAATATACAGTGAGCAAATCATATATTTAACATACAATTAAAATGCAAGGATTTTATGCAAAGTTGAAGGCCCAATGTTTGTGTTTTACAGCTTATATTTTAATGCCAAGCTCTATTGTACAAGATAGTGAACACATCTATTCCTCAAAAACAGACGTGGCTATTAATTATTAATAATAATAATAATAATATCCCTCAAGCAAGAGTTCACAAGAGAAAACACTGAGAGAGTTGCACTTTAAACACACAATACTGCCTGTTTCGGTTTCATCATTTTAATTGGTCAGTAATAGCCTTCATCTGGCTTCCTCAAGCAGACGCTCACCTTTAAGCTTCAGGGTCATTTCTGATGATTAGTTTCACTTTTTCTGCACACAAGAGGAAGCTCTAAGATAAGCTTTTGTTAAGCAGTGAACTTTATTTACACTGTGAAAGATGAAGTGTATATCTGCTTCCCCTATTTCTCGCTGGCCACTAATAAACTGCTGAGATCTCTGATAGGAGCTCGGGGCAATGTCTATTTTTTATGTTTGATTTATTGCTGCACATGTATTTCATGATGAGTCGTTGTTGAATGATTCATTTATTTTGAATGAATCTTTAATGTGATTCTTGAACGAGGAGTCATCTCAGGGAGTGATTCATTCATTAGCACATGCATACATCTCACGGGTGGTTATATAAATTATATAAACTTGCATATCTTATTCAATATATATATTCATTTGTTTATTTTATTTCAGCTTGACACATAATATAACCATAATCAGTTGATGTTTTAGTCATGTTCTGATTTATTAAGGCATTGTTTAGTTTATGTTCACATTACGTTCAGGTTATGTTCTGGCTATGTTCAGGTTAAGTTCACTTTAGATTCAGGTCATGTTCAGGTTATGTTCTGGTTATGTTTAGGTTAGGTTCAAGTTAGTTTCAGTTTATGTTCTGGTTATGTTCAGGTTATGGTATGTTTATGGTCAGGCTATGTTCAGTTTATGTTCTGTTTATGTTTAAGTTATGTTCTGGCATTGTTCAGTTTGTTATGGCTATGTTCAGGTTCAGTTTATGTTCTGGCTATATTCTGGTTATGTTCACTTTAGGTTATATTCAGGTTATGTTCTAGTTATGTTCAGGTTAGTTTCAGTTTATGTTCTGGTTATGTTCAGGTTATGATCAGATTATGTTTAGTTTATAATCAGGCTATGTTCAGTTTCTGTTCTGTTTATGTTTAAGTTATGTTCTGGCATTGCTCAGTTTATGTTCTGGCTATGTTCAGGTTATGTTTTGGTTATGTTCAAGTTATGTTCTAGTTATATTCTGGTTATGTTTAGGTTAGGTTCAAGTTAGTTTCAGTTTATGTTCTGGTTGTGTTCAAGTTATGGTATGTTTATGGTCAGGCTATGTTCAGTTTATGTTCTGTTTATGTTTAAGTTATGTTCTGGCATTGTTCAGTTTGTTATGGCTATGTTCAGGTTATGTTCAGTTTGTGTTCTGGCTATATTCTGGTTATGTTCACTTTAGGTTATATTCAGGTTATGTTCTAGTAATGTTCAGGTTAGTTTCAGTTTATGTTCTGGTTATGTTCAGGTTATGATCAGATTATGTGTAGTTT